TTATGAAGGAAGGCAGTGAAGTCCACAAAAGTGGGAGCCTGACCTATGCGAGTACGATGGGTATAATAACTCTCCCATGCGCCGAAAGCTCCACCTCCCAATTTAGCTGCGAGCAGAGAGCACCACGACTCCTGACTATTGTTCGCCAGTGTCAGCGTGCGCATGGCTGCCTGCAACCAATGCGATATGCGAAGTGTGCCATCACAGTCGGGTATGTTCGACAGGCGCACAAGGGGGGTACCGTTGTGCTAACGTCGAGGAGAGAGAGGCTGAGGGGCCTGCACTGCGGCGGCAAAAGTCGAGGTTGGTGTAGGGGTGGAAGTGAGAGACGGTTGTGGGCCGTAGCCGCTTGTAAAAGGTCCAGCAGAGGTGGAGGCAACGACTCTAGGCACTTGTGACAAAGTGACGAGGTAGGAGGGTAGAGACGGAGGAGCAGGTCGAGGGAAACGAGCCTGCAAGACCAAAGTAGGAGGAGTAGTGAGGGAAGATGAAGGGTGAGCAGCCTGTGAAGGGTGAGGCTGTCTCAAGGTGAGTATCTCCGCCTTCATTTGCGCCATGGTGGCCTGCAAGGTAGCCACTCGCTGGGTGTGCGAGGTCGGAGATGGAGGAGTCGGAGAGGGTACCTTAGCGGGGGGAGGAGTAACGAACTGTAGGGAGACCTGAGGTGGGAGTGAGGGGATAAGATGAGGAGGGAGGGCTCCGGGTCGTAGTGCCACGACGGATGCGGGAAGCTGGGAAGCAACACCGAGATGGGTAGATGGAACTGCTTGGCCAGATACCGGCGTCTAGGCGACAACACCTACGGCGGTGGACGAAGCGGCAGGGGCACCAAGGGCCGATGGATGTGTCGCAACAAACCGTATGGTTTGAGCGACAGCGACACTCACCATTGCGGAGGGGGAGTGTTGGGCCTGTCCCGCGGGGGAGGAGGAACCGCCACGTCTCTGTGTCTAAAGTCGTGGGCAACGAGATTGGGAACCAGTAGGGGATGGGGTGTGGGAGCGGTCGGGAGAGCCATGAGGAGAACCGTTGATGCAGTGGACTTCAAGGGCGAGCGCATTGAGTTGCTCCAGCATGGGTGCAAACGCGTCAAGTCGCGCTTGCATAGGGGCGAGGATATCCGCGAGGATGGTCTCAAGGTCGTTAGGGGCCAAACCCTGTGCGGCCATCTGAGCGTCCTGAGAGGTGGACGACACCACGTTGATATCCTCGGGTATGCTCCAGTCCATGTACAGTGGAGGAAGGGGGCTAGACATGGCGGGAGGTGGAGAGAGAAACAGGCCAACCAATGAGAGGGAGGGGACCGCGTGAGCGGAGTGGGTAGTCGTGAGTCGGCTCACCCCGGAGTCGGCGGGCCGCACAGTCGAGCACATCGGTCCCACCGGGGGACCCTCCCGGCCACGTCACGCAGGATTTTGCAGGACTTGTTGCAGAGAGCATTTTGCCGCTCCGGCCGAGTGCGCCAGCCGTACCTCTTGCGAGCCCCTGTGACAGGATAGGGCCACGCGTGGCACAACTTACCTCCACCCTTGGGAAGCTGTCCCCATCCCTTGGGTGGGCGTATGATGCCGCGTATCCCCGCCGAGCTACCGGACCACATGCGAAGGCTTTTCGAATGCAATTGCATAGTTGGCCCAGCCGAGGGCGTTTCTCGTTCGCTGTAGCATAGGGGGTACGCGAGGTTAACGCCCGAATCGGACCCACGCGCGAATCGTAGCCCGAGGCGCTAATCTCTCGAACGCGATCCTACGCTGGTCGACTAGGGCAGTCATTCTAACCACGCGATACACTTTCCAACAGAAACTCGGTCCTATTTCTCGTTCGTTGTAGCATAAGGGGTATGCGGGGTTAACGCCCGAATCGGATTCGCACGCGAATTGTTGCCCGAGGTACTCATCTCTCGAACACTATCCTACGCCAGTCGACTAGGACGGTCATTCTAACCACGCGATACACTTTCCAACAAAAACTTGTTCCTATTTGCATTATCACGCCTAGCCCCTTTTTTTTTACTCGACCTGTAACAGTTTTTGAATCAGAACGCACGAACGTCACACCTAAGACATTGCTCAAATAGGACGTTGGTTCGCAACCCAATCATATTGCATACTTATGTGCGAATACGTAAGTAGTCGCAATGATCGAGTACTATGTGGTGCCCATAAAGATGTGGTCCCATCTGAGTCATGGGATCTCATTCGACGTTCAGGCGTAGGCTGATGCGCTCTCTAAAGGGGTCAATCTTTTAGCGAGTGCAAAAGCGGACTGAACACCCGACCATCTTCTGCACCCTGCGGTGTCCCGAAGGGGCTAGGGTAAGATGGCGTCGAGGATGAAAGGGAATTTGGAGTGGTGGTGAGTTGTCTGGTGCACCACCAGCAACATGCTAAGCCTTCTACCCGGAACCTTATCCTTCCTCCAAAAACAACTATAAACAAGGAAAAATAAATTTGTCGCACGTGCCAATCCTGAAAATGTTCATAGACCTTGGCATATGTAAAACATGTGCGTGGCCACGACAGTCGTATGTAAGGAAATGTCCAAGCCTCGCGCCGCCCCTTTTTCGAGCATCTCACCCATAACTTATTTCGTGTGCGACTTCAGGTGTAGTTCGTGCACGAAAATACTTAAGAGGGACGCTCGCGCAAGAGGAAGTATTATATTCAGTCATGTGAACTCTTGCAGCTAACTGTCATGGCCACGCTTCATGCGTTACCCACGATCGTTCGACCCTTCGCGGGCTTCTGCGTGGCGTACGCCATCAAGTGTCAGAGACGAGGTATCGTGAAGGAAATCTCCTTCACGATATTGAACGGCTGAAAGATGAGTCGTTCAACCCTATCGGCACTCCTGACCTGTAGGCAGGGTGCCACGAGGGGCAGCGCTCAAATGCTCAGCGCATAGGGGAAACCTTTTTGTGCTAAACTAAGACCTGGGATGTCCTGGACAAGGACCTCGAATTCCAGTCACAGGACCAACGTCCGACTAACTAATTCAAATATCAAGGATGAGAGTGCACATTATCGCGGTTATTGCGAAGTCTATGCACACGCACTCTCACTAAATCATCGTGACTAAAACAAAAGTTGTTCAACCAATCAAATAAAGAGGTTGTGTGGTATTAGACAATCACTCTCACAAGAATAATGTGGCTTGTCCATTTGCATTCACGCAATACACATACAATCACCAAGGCTCAATCCAGAATCTTTGATCCATACCTGTGATCACATAGTTTAAACAAAAACATTAGACACACTAAGGGAGTCAACTTTACCGTTTTCTTCGACTCATACCCTGCCTTATGCATACAAACTCCAACCATTTTCCACCATCCCACAACAAAGGTACTCAGTCTTTAAAAATGACCATTCA